AAAAAAAAAAAAAAAAAGAAAAGGAAATAACCCAAATGTCCATTAACTGATTCACAATCAAAATGCAACCATACAACAGAATATCACTGGGCCATAGTAAGTAGGGTGAAGTACTGACATATTCTACAACATAGTCAATACTGTATGCAAAACAAACCAGACATTAAAAGTTGCATGGTATATTATTCCATGTGTATGAAATATCCAGAATAGATTACATACAGACAGAAATCAGAATAGTTCTTAGTTGCCAAGGTAGGGTAGTACAGATACGGAATAGGGAGTGACTACCTAATATGTACAAGGTTTCCTTTGGGTGATGAAAATGTCTTGGAATGAGATAATTCCACTTATATAACATTCTAGACAAGGACAGAAATCAGACTAGTGGCTGCTAGAAACTGGGAGCAGGGATTCAATACAAAGGGACATGAGGAAATGGGACAGTTCCTTCACCTTGATAACGGTAGAGGTTGATGCACTGAATGCATTTGTCAAAACTCACTGAGCTCTATTTTTTAAAGAAATGAATTTTACCTCAGTAAATCTGATCAAAAAATTTCAGAATAGGACTGGCAAACTGGCTCAAGTGGTAGAGGACCTGCCTAGTCCTGAGTTCAAACCCAGTACTGCCACACCAAAATTTAAAAAAAAAAAACCCAGATCTGATGCTGTTGTTGTTACAGAAATAATGCTTCCTTTGTAATACACTAGCTTTTACTAAGCAAGAAATTATTTTTAATCCCAATCTCATATGACTCATACAAACACATGCTGTTGCTTTAAGCCACAAAAATCTTTACTTGGGAAAAGATTTAAGAATCAAAATTTAGTGACATTTTATTTGGGTATATAAACACCAAAGAAGTTGACAATAGTTATTAACCACTTTAAAAAAGGGAAGAAGAGAGAAAGGAAGGAGAAAGGAAGCAAGGAGAAATCAAATGATGTATAGCTCTATTTCCACATTAGCAAATCTTTAAGATAATTTCATTTGAATATAACTGAATTTTATCTAAGTATGCTTTGATAGCATTTTAATAATGCTTCTGCAACATTTATATGACTGATGAAGTTTACAAAACACAGCTACATGCCAAGAACACACAATCAAGAAAGGACAGGGCTGAGGAAACACAATAGCCACATGTGAAAAATGAAATTACACCCAACCTCTTACCTGAAAATGGATCAAATACCTAAGTGTAAGAAATGAAACTGCAAAAGTACAAGAAGGAAATACAGGGAAATCACTTCAAGACAACTGTATAGGGGTGGGAGTGTGGCTCAACTGGTAGAGCATCTGCCTGGCAAGAGCCAGGGCCAGAGTTCAAACCCTAGTCCCACCAAATAAAAAGAGATTTTTTTAAGACAATGGTATAGGCCCAAAGGCAAAGGAAACAGGCAAAAATATAGACAAATGAGCTTGAGATTAATATCAAACTAAGAATCTTTTGTACAGTAAAGGAAACACAACAACACAGTGAAGAGACAGCCTACAGAATGAGAGAAAACATGTCCCAAATATTCGTCTGACAGAATTTTCTTTTCTATTACATTATTGTACTGGGGGCACATTGTGACATTTATAAATGTTATTACAACACATCATAAGTTAATTCACCCCCCTCCATCATTCTCCTTTAATATCCAGAATATAGAGAGAATTCAAACAACTCAACAGAAAAAAAAATCTGAATAAACATTTCTTAACAGTAGACATATGGATGCATATCAAGCCACAATAAGACATCATCTCATCTCAGTTAGAATGACTTGCCAAAAAGACAAAAACTGGCAAAAAGACAAATTCTGGCAAGAATGAAAAAAAAAAAAAACTTCCTTATACCTTGTCCGTGAGAATGTAAATTTGCACAAACATTATGGAAAACAATATGGAAGTTCTCAAAATACTAAAAATAGAACTATCATAAAATCCAGAGACCCCACTATTTGGCACATATCTAAAGGAAATTAATTCATTATATCAAAGGGATACTTATACTTCCATGTTTACTTTAGCAATCTTCAGAATAAGACATGGAATCAAAAGAGGTATCTATTAATGAAAGAATAAAAAAATATGATATATATATATATAATGGAATATTACACAGCCATGGATGTTAATACTGTCATTTTTTGTTAACACAGATGGAACTGGAGGACATCATTTTACATGAAATAAGCCAGGAACAGAAAGACAAATATCCCATATTCTCACTCACTTGTGAAAGTTAAAAAAGCTGATCTCATAGAATAGAGGTCAGTAGACAGTAGGAAGTGTAGGGATGAGGGAGAGAAGGAACATGGAGAGGTTAGATAACAGTACCAAAATAATGCTAGATAGGAAGAATATGTCTAATGTCCTATAGCACAATAACATAACTATAGTATGTAAAAATTCATGATATATTT